GCTCAGATTGTCTCTTTCTCATCCCAGAGAACAGCATAGCAGATGTTCTATCTCACTTTCAGGACAATCACCTCTAGGCCTTGGCACCCGAGGCATGGCAATCACCTTTCCAGAGGAACTATGGAAGATCGGATAGACACTGTCTTGCAGCGAGTATTAATGTCCGTCAAAATCTCCATATTCCACACTTATTCCAGGGCATGGTCTTCCTTTGAGGCATTTGGGGTACTGTCTTTGGTGGGCAGCTGTTACTGCCATGCTCATGAAGAGGATGTGCTACAATACAGTGGTGCCTCGGGTTAAGTACTTAATTCGTTCTGGAGGTCCATTCTTAACCTGAGACTGTTCTTAACCTGAAGCACCACTTTAGCTAATGGGGCCTCCTGCTGCCGCTGCACCGCCGGAGCACGATTTCTGTTCTCATCCTGAAGCAAAGTTCTTAACCCGAGGTACTATTTCTGGGTTAGCAGAGTCTGTAACCTGAAGCGTCTGTAACCTGAAGCGTATGTAACCCGAGGTACCACTGTACTTCGTCTCCTTTAAGGGGAAGGCTTGGCTGCCATCTCCTTCAGTAGATGCTTCTGGCTTCCTGACCCTTGCAGTCACTTCCCTGTGCACCAGTTGCTAGAGGGATGGCACAGAGCTTACCCCCTTGCCTCCTGACAACTTGCTCAGGGAAGAAACAGGGATCCACAATGACAAAACCCAGTGCAGGTTATTTTGCCTGCTCTTTCAGCTACGGTAAGTCTCAAAGTCTGCCTAGACAGCTGAGAGTACTGGAGGGCAGAGGCAAGTGTGACTGCACTGCTTACTTTTCCCTTTATGCTTTTTTAAAAAATCTCCCCCTATGAAAAAGTATGCATTTGGCACAAGAAGCAATGTGCACATATAACATGCCACATGACTTTATGTGATGATAAAGCATCAATAACAGTATGATTCCATTATCACCAAATCCAATTCTGCTGGTAATGTTTAAAATGCGAAATCTCCAGAGAGCTGATTTGCACCAAGCTAAGAAACGTTCTCAGCTTCTCAGCATCTCGTGAACAGTGTCTTCTCTACTTATCAAAATAGAGCTCACTAATTGTTAGTAGTACTAATTGAGTTCATTTCTCTTAAGATTTGCTAATTTGAATGTGACCTAGATATTACTGAGCACTTATCATTAAGAAATTTTGCCAAAAGACAGTATGCAAAATTGCAAATGAATTATGTTAATTTATTGGGGGGCTCATAGACATGTATTTCCCACAGTCAGCTACGTGAAGCACTTTTGTCAGGCTGAGCTTTGTCATCCATCATTTTTATCTAATAAGAGTTCTACTTACATACACCATTTAATTCAGGGGTAGCCAACCCAGTGCCTTCCAGATGCTGTGGACTCCCAGATCCCATCAGTCTCAGCCAACATAGTCAATTGTGTAGTTTAACAATATATATGTTGGCCACCCCTGGTTTAAGTAAACATGGTTTCAGAAGTTTCTTTTTGCGCTTCAGAATTCAGAGAGTAATAAAGCAAGTTCAGAAATACTTTCATATGGAAGGTGGCAGAGGAAGATGGGAAAATCTCACTCTGTTTTTGGATATTTTCCTTTAGAGGCCTCAGAAATTGGCTGTTGGCTGGATTAACTGCTACAGAAGTGCTACAGAAAATGTCTCCTGGAAAGTCTCAAGAAATGCGTTTTTGCTTTCATGCTCAGATATGAAATGATTTCCAGAATTCAGTTTGGGAAGAAACTTCCCAATTGAACAGAATAGGTGGTGGTGTGTGTGTGTGTGTGAACGAAGAAGCAAGAGAGGTTATCCATTGGTTTACCAGAAATTTTTATTTTTATTTTGCTAACACTTTTCTTATGGTGGTGGAATAAATAAAGGCAGTGGAACTGCCAAATCCAAGATTTCTGCCAGGTTCACGCTGACAGGATGGAAGGTGGTATCCAAAAATTCTCCAAATCCCCCCCATATGTGTAAATCCCCCTTTTAACTTTATGAGGGTTTCCCCTTGGTTTTTTTAATGTTAAAAAAACCCTGCAGTTTTCCACAGGTTCCACTTCCAATAATGCTTGGGGAGCAACATGTTGTAAAGTTACTCCCGAGACAAGGGAAGCTGGCTGCACTTCTTGAAACGCCTTGAGAGTGATGCAATGTAAGGTGACATGACATAACATTCCATGAGGTTTGGCCAGCTGAAAGCTGCAGAGCAAGTCTTCCACCACAGCAGCAGAAAACACAACGGAACAAGGAAGGAACCAATCTGACCTTCCTGGGAGAGATAGTTGCAGAGTGCAGGCTCTGCAATGGTGATGGGATCCTCACAGTCTTCTAAGCAAATACTGAATGAGGACCAAGAGTTATGCACACAGCAGTGGGTGGCACTGTGGTCTAAACAACTGGGCCTAATTGGGTTTGCTGATCAGAAGGTCAGCATTTTGAATCTGTGCGTCGGGGTGGGCTCTCATTTCTCTGTCCCAGCTTCTGCCAACCTAGCAGTTCAAAAGCACATCAGTGCAAGTAGACAAATAGGTCCCGCTACTGCAGGAAGGTAAATGGCGTTTCTGTGTGCTGTAGCTTCTGTCACAGTCCTCCGTGTGCCAGTAGTGGTTTATTCATGCTGGCCACATGACCCAGAACTCTGTCTGTGGACAAACGCCGGATCCCTCAGCCTGAAAAGCAAGATGAGCACAGTACCCCATAGTCGCCTTTGACTGGACTTAACCATTCAGGGATCCTTTACTTCTTTTCTTTTTTCTTTTTTGCACAGCAGGTCACTTTAATGATCAAGGATGAATAAATGATAAAAGAGTCTGGACCATTAAAGACTTTAAAATTAATAACCACAAATATAGGCTGCACCTCTGTCCACACTTACATGGGATAAAAGTCCACTGAACAAAGGTGTACTTAGGCATTTGCTGGCAACCATATTTTGAATTAACATACACAGAGCCAATTATACTAGTCATCAAATTTTAATTCATGCTGCATATTTTCCTGAGCTGCATATTTTCCTGAGCCACATTGATGATGATGATGATGCATTATTTTTATGTTCAATATGAGCAAAGAAGGCTTAAGTGTGAAGCCCAGGTTTCTGTTCTAGCCTGGCCTGGACTAAGCTGCAATGTTGAATGGCCTCTTGCTAAACAGCTTTCCTTTGGAGTGGAATGTTGGGTGGTTGAAAAAGCTGGAGCCATGTAAATTTGGATTGGAAATTATATAAATATAAATTGTTCCATTGACTCAGCAGTTTGATTTAGTTGAGCAGTCAGATCTACCTGTTTATATATGACAAATACAGTTCATTTTTGCAAAATTGGATTATGGATGCAATGACGTCTCCAGTTCTCCTCCTAGTGCTAACATTTCATACCTTGCGTCTCTTAAAATGGCCTGTGTGAACTTATGACCTGCTAAAACAGGCGAGGGCAGGAGTATAGAAATCTCTTTAGTTTCTTTATCACCAAACAGGGGATGAATATATCTGCAAGCCATGAGTCACTTCATTTGTGAATGGGCACCAGTGAAGTATGACTCCCATGACAAGCCTTTTGGGAAATTGGAAGAATGAAAAGTGGTGACTATGACCTTCCTATATGACAGCTTCTGACAAGTCTCTGCATAGTGGTTGAAATTCACATTCATTATTCTTTCAGTTTATTGGCAATACTGTATTAAGCAGTTCTTGCTTGGCTCTGGGTACCTTTATTTCCCACTAATTTCTATGCAAGTTAGGAGTGCTTAATAATTTGCCTTATTGAATGGAAGATACAGCATGAATCCATGGCTGTCATAGCGACATGAGGAAAGAAAGATCATTGCACATATTTTTAGTTGATTTTTTCCCTTTGTCTTCTTTTTATCTGAGAACAGTCAGATAAAATGTATCCAGTGAATGTGATCAATTTAACAAAGACATATTAAGCAGAAATTCATGTTGCTTTGTTATATAGGAGAACATATCGGAATAACTGTGGGTGGCATTTTCCTGGCTCATCTATCTTAATGGATTTCAAAACAATACTATATCCAGATTCAATGTAAAATTACTTGGCTTTCCAAGTGTTGAAAACCTTGGGTAGCCAGGCCAAAACTGACTATAATTATTTGACAAACGTGGACATTCTTTCATCCTGACCCAGAAATACTCTTCCACACACAGGAGGAATGTTGCATGTGAGGAACAGCTGTTCTGCATATGGACACCCCCATCATGTGTACAAAACTACTGCAGATCTGTTCTGCCTCCCGTGGAAAACAAGGACGTGTGCTTAAGCCCACCATGCAAATCTCAAGCAAATGTTCTGAACAAGTCAACAGATTGTGTTTCTCACATGTTCAAATATTTCTGTATTCAAAAATGGGTCCTGTAATGACACTGCAGTGTGAAATGGAGTAATCTGTTCACTCATTGCAACCAGTACCATAAGTACAAAGAAACTGGCCTGGTGGATCAGACAAGAAAGGTCACCCTCCTCTGAGTTGACACCCGTCTGTCTCAGAAGACAATGGAGGAGTGTGCCTTTGGGGATGAGGTCAAACTGTTGGCAGGTTGCAGAGCCTATTAGTCCTCTTTTCAACTGCAGTGGGACAGATACTTTGGAGGAAGTTATAGGACCCAGAAAGGATGTATGTCACGGTCTGGGTTACAGGCAGTCGGAGTCCCGGCTTGGTACGTTGGGACTGGGATAGAGGTCAGGAAGCAGGAATCAAAAGTCCAGCGGTCAGGAAGCCAAGAGTCCACGAATCAGGATACCAGGTGTCAGGAAGCCGAAGCACAGCTAGGTGGGCAGCATGCTGCTGTGGCAAAGAGCCAGAGGGAAATGCTGGTCATATATACCCCTCCCGGCCCTTGCCACCAGGTGCTATGAGTCTTCTGTCAAGCCTCACCTGTGTGGCCGCACCTTGCCCTTCCAGGCCAAACTCAGGAAGGCCCCAGTCCTGCGAGGCCCTACCAGTCACAGGGCCTGGCTCCTGCATGCACTCCTGACAATGTAGAAGGGGCTGTAGCTCAGTGGTGTAGCACCTGCTATGCATGCAAAAGGCCCTAGGTTCAATCCCCAGCATCTCTAGGTATTCCAAGACCTCCACCTGAAACCCTGGTCAGTGTCAACAGTACTGAACTAGTTGGCCCAATCATCCAACTCAATATAAGGTAGCTTTCTTTGTTCCTAGAAGGAAACAACCCTTCCCTGTTATCTGCAACCAGCATCTAGAACTCAGAGAATATACTGTCCTTGAACATGGAGAACCAATTTAGCTATGACAGCTGTTTGTGTCCCTTGTCTATCTCTGGAATGAACCCAGTATATGTTTTTATTTCATATAATAAGATGTGTACTCTTGGGCACAGATCCTGCATTTGTATTCATGTGACTGGCTAAAGGCAGTCATGTGAAGCTGTTGCCTGTAGTGTTCTATAGAGACTAATACTCCAGAGATGGCTTACTGTCACATCATATTTCAACAGGCGAGGAATTTTATCAAGGTGTAGTGAAAACATAACAAATAAAAATGGCCGCAATTCTTTAAGAAAAGTTTTACCCCTCCAAACTTATACATGAAAGGTTCCCTATTTATTGTTGTCTCTCTTTAGACTGTATATTTGTTCTTTGCCAATTAATGCAAACTGGGAACTGTGTTGTTAGACTCCTACTCTCATCAGCCCCAGCCAACATGGCCAATTGTCAGGAATGGTGGGTGTTGTACTTCAAGAACACCAGGAAGGCCACAGGTTCCCCATCCCAGTGCTCAGCCATCAGAAATACAGCAAATATAGTTTTTGAAGGCAATTTCCCCAAATATAATGCATTCTATATATTATTTTCACTAATATATGCATTTTATGAACATTTTCCCCTGTTATACATGTTTTTGTACGTAACTTTTGATTGGAGAACAGCATCACAAAATTTGGAGAAATGTGAATTTCAAAGGATGCTGTGTTTTGGTTCAACTATTGTTTTGAGAAGTATGAAACAGATAGGTTCCTATTCATATGCGAGCTAAACTGAATTTCTTACACACTGATGAATGGAGCAAATACAGTGTATTTTCTTCAATGTTAAAGAGAGATAGCCGACATGGGTTCTCTCATAAATACAGTTCCTGCTATTTAATCTGTCTTCTGCCAATAAAATGTTTCCTTCCACAGAGATGTCACACTCTTTTATAGTTAATGTATTTTTATGAAATGCAAAACACTAAAGCTAAAGGTGTATCTTAGAATCACCAACAACAAAGACATTGTCCTCATTTCTTTTTCACTAATGTAACTGGTTTTTATATATAATTGGTATGAGGCTACTGAAGCAATCTGTTATTCTATGGAACAGGCCATGGAAATGCATTAGAAGTGCTACGATTTCTTAATTTGTATCTACCTATGCCTCTTTCATAATTCATTTCCCCGTGGAGTTTGTCTATAGGCATAGCGAGTCCCATTTATTCACTGAACAATAGAAAGTATTGCAGATTTACAATATACTAGGGTGGCAAAAGGATAGCAACAACCCGTACCAATAAACCTGGGCAGAGATAGTTTGACATATGTTAACTCACTGCTGGGAGACAGACTGTTGACCTTCAGAACATAGGCCAGGCCAGACTATCTAGCTAAGGATTATCTGCTCTGTCTTAATCTGCATATTTTATTATTTTTATTTTTGACCAATTCATACATTACTCACTGAACCAGAGGAGCAACACTACTACACAGTGTTAACTTAAAAAGCACCCATTGAGAAGAATAAGGACGGAAAAGGTCCTCATTCATCAACAAGTTTTCTGCATTTGTGGTTCCAATTATAACCGTTTCCATTTCTTTCTTCTCATAGTTTGCCTTCTGCAGTCCTAAACCTATGCAGTATGGACTATTCTCGAGTAAGAGGATCCTGGTTTGAATCTTCTCCATGAAACACATTGCCTATGCTATTTGCTTTAGAACGCCATACATTCCTTTTTTCATACTTAGATTCTTGGTATAATTTTCCATAATCATTCCCCACTGTTAATCAGTTGCTTCTTGGGCAGACATTTTCCAGAATGTTATCTGGGACCTCTTTTCCCTAAAATGTCCGTTCTTTCTTTCTTTCTTTCTTTCTTTCTTTCTTTCTTTTGTTTTCAGTAATAATTATTGTCACCAAAGATAGTAGGCAGAAACATTTGGGAGCCATTCTTTACCCATTTTCCTTTATCAAGAGAAAGCACTACCAATTAACACAATAAAACAAACCACTGAAAGCACAAACAAATAAAACGTGAACACTTGTAGCTGCATACCAGTCCTGTTAGCCCGTGATTGGGGCAAATGCCATATACTTCCCAGCATGCTCTGCTCTGAATATCTTGTATAGAAAGATTGGTGTATTCCTAATATGCATAATTACAGGGTCATTGAGGAAAATGATGATATAATTATCAAAGCTTTAATTGTACACTGATAAGTATTCATGAAAAGAGGATATTATTTCAACATGCTATTATTAGTGTCACTTTACTTCTGTTCCCAAAGCACACTATCTTTGTATTTGGGTAGAGCAATCTTCATATTACACCAAGCCAGCTCAGCAGCAGAAGGGAAAACGCACCAAACAGAAAATACAAAAATGGTGCGAAAGTGATAGAAATGTCCCACGCATCCCTGGAACATTACTGTGACCCACCAATCAGGGTCTTGACAGTGCCCATATGCCAAATAGACACAGTGCCCCTCACATTGCCATGCCCCTCCAGAATGCAAGAAATGCAGAACCCTAAGCATCAGTCACAGACAAAGTCAAAGGATTCCTTTAGTGCTGTCGGTTACAGCAACAACAAACACACTCAGCAGATCACTGTGTGATAGGTTTTAGGGGGTTCAGTCTGGATGTTACCACTCATGGGTATCTTTGAAACCTGTGATCCTGTGTATGTAAGGTTAGAATCTACAAGAGGAAACCTTCGCTTCTTAGTAAGTTAATGGCCTTGGTTGGCCAGTTAAGTACTGCCATGTACATGTCCAAAGAGGTTGTCTTGTTGCCATAGAGACAGGTGGGCGAGCCTTTTCCCACCTGACCTGGCTGGATGCATCCTAGAAGAGAGGAGGACTGTGTGTGAGTTTTGTCTGGTGCTGGAAGCTGAAGATACAGAGACTTGTCTTGCTCTGTGCTGATGTGTAATATGTGGAAATAAAAACCATATACAGTGGTACCTCAGGTTACATACGCTTCAGGTTACAGACTCCGCTAACCCAGAAATAGTGCTTCAAGTTAAGAACTTTGCTTCAGGATGAGAACAGAAATCGGGCTCCGGCGGCATGGCAGCAGCAGGAGGCCCCATTAGCTAAAGTGGTGCTTCAGGTTAAGAACAGTTTCAGGTTAAGTATGGACCTCCGGAACGAATTAAGTACTTAACCTGAGGTACCACTGTATCCTAAAGACACCACTGTCTCTGTTGACATTCATTCCAAGGAAACCAAACCCTTGGTAGGTGCTGCAACCCCTGGAGTCTTTTGATACTTGGAGATCGGGGTGTGTTCAACAACTGATTTGAATTCCCCCATTGGACAAAAATGTTACCTCCCCCAAACTCCCAATGGAATCACAGAGCTGAAGGAACTCTCAACATTAAACATTTTAAAATCAATCACCTCTGTGGTTTTCCTTTAATTTTACAAAGATTTTTTCATAAGTCATCTTAATGATATTTTTATTATTTTTATTATAATATTCAGGAACTTTGTTTTAAGGAGAAAATCTCTTTTTATGCTTGCTCATGACAAATAAGTTTTAGTTGAGCATTAAAAGCTTTTAAAAAAAATATTCTCACAAGAAGTTGAGTTCTTCTTGATAGTCATCTTTGAGCTTCTTAAATGTTCTTTTCTGAAAAGCTATAAGTAGAATTAGTCTCTCATTTTTTGCCAAATGAACAAAATGCAATCCAGAATTTTGTATGTTAAACAAATCTGGAAAATATCATTATGTCCTTATTTTTGTATATCAGAATACAACTAACATGCATGGGAAAATGATGTGATAATAGTTGGAGACTCTTTGATGTTACACAATTATTTCACTGTATTTGTGATACAAGTAAAAAGAGGAAATAAAGTTTTACTGTCATATAAGTAATAATACTTTACTCATAGGGTAGTAAGTCTATCGCAGTGAAAATATTTCATATTATGAGTAGCTCCTAACGGATCTCTCTAAACTGGGTGAGTGGGTATTAAAATGACATATGTCATTAAATGTAAGCAAGTGTAAAAGTGATGCACATTGGGATAAAAATATATATATTTACTTAGAATATATGCTAATGGGAACTGATGATAGCCAACCAGGAAAGAGATTTTAAGATCCTTGTGGATTGTTCACTGAAAATGTCTATTCGGTTAAATGGGGGACATGAAAATGGCAAATTCCACCCCAGATGCAATAGAGGATGCTATTCTCACCAGTATTGAAGTAAGATCCATGATGCAAGTCCCATCTGTTTCTGTACATAGAATGGGAAAAGGGGATACCATATTGCCCTTCACATCAGGCAGCAAAGTATATTGGATTGGCCCTTGCAGTACCATTGGAGAAGGTTAATACTAGGAAGTCTGATGACCAATTGAGGCTGGCCAGAATGGAAGGAGGATCACCAGAGAGCAGCCCAAAGCTCACTGTATGTTTCCCTGCCCCATACCTGTACAGTGATTTAAGAGAAGCCAGAATAGCTGTAAGTGGAGTCATGACACAGGAGGCTTTTGAGATGGTACTTATAACACCAGAGGTCCCAGGGAACCCCCATCCAGTGATTGTGAAGGGCATCAACCATGTTGTAAGCCTTTAAAGTGGAGGTCTTCATCCTAGTCTGTATCTGTATCAGATTTGAAACTGTATCTGCACATGAAATCATTCCATTCCTATACACCAAAATTGGCACCAGCTTGGCTGCAGGAGTTCTGGAAGAAGGCATACAAGATACCACCCAACCGTCTTAAGGACTCCTTTATGTAGAGTTTACTCCTTAGCCTTTTCTTCACCCCAAGATATTCCACCCAGCAGCAGAGATTTGGGATCAGAATTTTCTTTCTTCTATATCT